TGCCCCATCATTGGTGTCAGTGGGAGGAATAGTGCCCCATCATTGGTGTCAGTGGGAGGAATAGTGCCCCATCATTGGTGTCAGTGGGAGGAATAGTGCCCCATCATTGGTGTCAGTGGTGTCAGTGGGAGGAATAGTGTCCCATCATTGGTGTCAGTGGGAGGAATAGTGCCCCATCATTGGTATCAGTGGGAGGAATAGTGTCCCATCATTGGTGTCAGTGGGAGGAATAGTGCCCCATCATTGGTGTCAGTGGGAGGAATAGTGCCCCATCATTGGTGTCAGTGGGAGGAATAGTGCCTTGTACCATCCAGAGGAATGGTGCCCCAAGGGCTGGTTAAAGGCTGGTAAAGGGCCGCAGTTTTGAGACCTCTGCTCTATACAGTAGGTGAGTACATAACTTTTTATTCTTAGATAAATGATGTCTCAGTTAATACACAAGGCCGGTGCGCCCCCTTTTTTTTGTTTTCCTATATATAGTGCTTATGGATTCCTCGGCCAGGTGGACAGCGAGGCCAAGTGAATTTTAAAAGACCGTGGCCGGGTTATGTGCTGGAGATACATAAATTAATAAAATCCCCCCCTCCTCCACCCCATTACCTCACCAGCAGCTATGCCAAAATAAAAAAATTAATAAAAAAGTATTTTTCTATGTGCTGGAGCTGCCCGGAATGTAGAGGGAGCCCCCCCCCCCCCCCCCCCCCCCCAATGGACTGGTCCCACACCTTAGCACAGAAATGAGGTTGCATCAATTTGATGTTTGTGGTTTATATACCTTTTGCACCTGACTTCCCCGTATCCCAGCCAGGGGCGGACTGACCATTTGGAAACTTGGGCACTACCTGAGGGCCCGGGGTCAGTAGGGGGCCCCATGAGATGCCCCTGGTACCTTTTTCATAGGCTTTTTGAGTTTGGCCAAGGACACAGGGGCCCCATGATCCCCTATTGCTCGGGGGCCCCATGAGTTGTCAGTCCACTCCTGATCCCAGCCATTGTGTTCCCTGGTTCTAGCCCCACCCCCTCTCTATGAACCACACCCACTGCAGCCTGAGAGAGGACCTGCAGCACAGGATTCAAGAAGCACTATTAAAATCCTGCTAAATCTAGCTGCATTGTGTTTTACTGAACGGAAGGGCGCATTTTTTTCTGAATTCAGTCAGTTGCGGAGTTTGCAGGATGCAGTTAGCAGTTCACCTAACGATTTTACTTATTAGCTGCCTCTTTACAGGAATTTTTTTTTTTTTAATTTAAAAAAAAAAAAACACCTTACTTGGAGAGCACAAGTGATGACATGAAGTAAAAATTGCTGTCTTAAAGCAAAAGGAGACGTTTCTTCTAGAAATGTATTTCTGGGCGCCCCTACTGACATTTAAATACCTGCAATATACAGGGATGATATATTCTAAGAAATGTTATCTCTTATGTCTGGATATGACTGAATTCCACCCTTAGGGCTCGTTCACACTTGCTTCAAAATGTTACATTGGTCACGCTTCTTGAAAGCACTTTGAATGCCAATCAAAGTTCCTATCAATAAAATGGTCGCCATGTTGTGTTTGCTTTCCTTTAAAAATTATCCCCCATGTCGCTTTCTTGGTGCTTCAGATCGTCTCCAAAGCCCCCATAGAAGTCTATGACAACGCTCGCTAACAGCACCTGCAGCTTTTTAGAGGCATTTGTTCAACATTGGCTTTGCTTTGTTTGGAGGTATTGCAGGTATGAGAGATCCCAGGATGCACTGGGAGACCAACAGGCAAACCAGAAAGATGCCATCAGCAGTCACTTCTGGTTTTTCTGTCTATATTCTGGGAGTGTCTGATGCAGACGTCACATCCGGTGTGCAGTATGGAGCAGCAGGCAGAGGACTAAGCGGCAGAGGATCAGCAGACCTGGGGGTACTACTGAGTGGGGCATCAGCAGAGCTGAGGGTACTACTAAGGGGATCTGCTGAACAGGGGTGCTAATGAGCTTGGGATCTGCTGAACAGGGGTACTACTAAGCAGGGGATCTGCTGAACAGGGGTCCTAATGAGCTGGGGATCTGCTGAACAGGGGTCCTAATGAGCTGGGGATCTGCTGAACAGGGGTCTTAATGAGCTGGGGATCTGCTGAACAGGGGTCCTTAATGAGCTGGGGATCTGCTGAACAGGGGTCCTAATGAGCTGGGGATCTGCTGAACAGGGGTCCTAATGAGCTGGGGATCTGTTGAACAGGGGTCCTAATGAGCTGGGGATCTGCTGAACATGGGTACTAATGATCTGGGGATCTGCTGAACAGGAGTACTAATGAGCTGGGGATCTGCTAAACAGAGGTACTAATGAGCTGGGGATCTGCTAAACAGAGGTACTAATGATCTGGGGATCTGCTGAACAAGGGTACTAATGATCTGGGGATCTGCTGAACAGGGGTACTAATGAGCTGGGGATCTGCTGAACAGGGGTACTAATGATCTGGGGATCTGCTGAACAGGGGGTACTAATGATCTGGGGATCTGCTGAACAGGGTTACCAATGAGCTGGGGATCTGCTGTACAGGGGAACTAATGAGCTGGGGATCTGTTGAACAGGAGTACTAATGATCTGGGGATCTGCTGAACAGGGGTACTAATGATCTGGGGATTTGCTGAACAGGAGTACCAATGAGCTGGGGATCTGCTGAACAGGGGTACTAATGAGATGGGGATCTGCTGAACAGGGGTGCTAATAAGCTGGGGATCTGCTGAACAGGGGTCCTAATGAGCTGGGGATCTGCTGAATAGTGGTACTAATGAACTGGGGATTTGCTGAACAGGAGTATCAATGAGCTGGGGATCTGCTGAACAGGGGTGCTAATGAGATGGGGATCTGCTGAACAGGGGTGCTAATGAGCTGGGGATCTGCTGAACAGGGGTTCTAATGAGCTGGGGATCTGCTGAACAGGGGTCCTAATGAGCTGGGGATCTGCTGAATAGTGGTACTAATGAACTGGGGATTTGCTGAACAGGAGTATCAATGAGCTGGGGATCTGCTGAACAGGGGTACTAATGAGATGGGGATCTGCTGAACAGGGGTGCTACTAAGCAGGGGATCTGCTGAACAGGGGTGCTAATGATGGGGATCTGCTGAACAGGGGTGCTAATGAGCTGGGGATCTGCTGAACAGGGGTACTACTAAGCAGGGGATCTGCTGAACAGGGGTACTGCTAAGCAGGGGATCTGCTGAATAGGGGTACTAAGGAGCTGGGGATCTGTTGAGTGGGGGGTATGACAGATTTGGAGTACTACTGAACTGTGGTTCTACTGGGCCCCTTTAAAATAATAAATAAATAGAAAATCAACACACACACATGGGGGTTCATTAAAGTTTCAAAAAAGCATCACTGAAGCATCATCAAAGCATCTTGAAGCAGTAGGCGCTTTACAGGCCTCACTCACACAGGACGTTTAAAAATGCTCTCCTAGAAGCTGTCCTCCTGGCAGCACCGTTTTTGCAGAAAAAACTCCTGACTCTTGTAAAAGTATCTAACGCTGTTACTAGCGTTTAGGCGCACTTACAAGCGTCAAGCAGTTGGGCGTTAATTCATTTCATTGGCCAGAATGCTCATTTATTCTGGCCATTGAAATGACTTAACGTTCATTCGCTAAACATGCCTAGCGTTTAGCCGCGTCTAGCTTTTTTTCTGCCAAAACACTGCTGCTCCTGGACACACTGGCCCTGGGGGGTTTTTTGTGCTGATGGTAAATGATACTGCTACTAAAAGCTTCTAGAAGTCTGTGTGCATGGACACATAGGATTATATGGAAGCAGTAAAAAAAAAAAAAATGCCTAACACCCTTTAAAGTGGCTGCAAAAGCGCTGTGTGCATGAAGCCTAATGTGTATTAAAGTCGAAGCAAGTGTAAATGAGCCCTTACTCTACAGATTTTAGGTGATCCTTCAAGGTATAGACCAGGGGTCTCCAAACTACGGCCCTCCAGCTGTTGAAGTACTACAAGTCCCATCATGCCTCTGCCTCTGGGAGTCTAGCCTGTGGCTGTCAGAGTCTTGCAAGGTTTGCAGTCAACTCCTGGAGGGCCATAGTTTGGAGACCCCTGGTATAGACCATACTGTGTACCCAACACTGTTGATGTAATGGAGCTCCGACAGCTGCAGCGAGGAGAACTGTGAACATTCACGTACAACGCATTGTTTCCGCTCTTTTATCCGCTTTTCACCTGGTGAGTAAGACAAGTTTTGTTGACAAGATCTTATGTAAGTAAACTGATACACGGGTCTACAAGAACATCTATCCTCCCCCGCTACAGTCTACACAGACCGCCAGGATTGCATGTCGCACGGGATTAACATCAACAATCACACAACAGTGAATTCAGCTCTGGATCCTCCTAACTGCGTACAACACATTGACTTTCCCTTGTATCGCTGACGTCTAGACACAATTTTCACCCTTCTAAACATATATATAATAGATTTACTACGCAACGGTGGCCATGCGGGTGAAGCCAGTTTGAAAAGTATGAGCGTTTGTCGGATGGCTCTTTGCCTCTTTTTGTCTTGGTCTGTGGCTGCTTAAAAGTTTGAAAAAGGATTTAAATTTTACAACACAACTGCTAAACAACTATCAAGACATGACCATATATGACTTGTCCGTGTGCGACCTTGAAGAAAGTCATGAGAAAGCCTCCATCCTTTGCCAAGACCTCCTGATAGTAACAGTTCTTCCATGTCAAAATGCTTATCAGATGGAAATAAAGAGACGACTCGGAGGTGAACATGGAGTAACTGATCCCACTAGCCATTTGCATTGTTGGACCGCACAGAACTGGTTTGACTAACCTATGGTGGAACAAGTGAGCTGCAGGAACCCTCTTACGTAGGTGTTGAATCTCTGCTAGGTGTTTGTTGAGATCCCCTGTCTCTTTAGCAATAAGGAAAACGATGAGTGGACTAGAGGACATGTTTGGAGGGTCGGCACGGCCTGCAGAACATTGATACAGCCTCAGGGTTTGGCCACAGCCCCGTTTTCAGCAAGGTGACGAGGACATCTGGTCGTAGTCAGGGCATTTGAGCAGGGCGGGGTAATTAGAGTTCATCTGCAAAGAGGCTTCACTGGAGATATCAGAAGGACTTCGTCCTCTTACCCAAGCCTCAGGGTGGAGGAACTGGCCAGAATAGTCAGAACAGTTGCTTAGCCGTGGCCTGTAGAACCCTGGATGTGGTCTGTAGGCATCCTCGGCTGTGTAACGTTTCATGAAGAGGTACACAGACATTACTCCAGCGCTCTGTAGATGTAAAGATGGAAAAGTGTAAACTCAGCAGGAAAGACAGGATTGTAACCCCCACCCCACCCCACCTGGTTTTCCAACCATTTTAAAGACTACAAGATTTGACATCTTCAAGGAGTCCATTATGTGCACTAAACCAAGGCAAGGTTCCTTCTCCAGTTCACACTGGGCTTGCCTGCTTCTGTGTTACAGTGGTTGATATGTATGACCAGACTTGTTCTAACAGCTATGAGATAGTTTACGAGTTGAAAACCCTTTCTCTTATCTGCCCATATCTGTGAAAGTCAACATGGAGCTGCACTCCTTAATTCACATGAAACCTTTCATAATCTTCTGCATTTATGGTGCCACACTAAGCTTCGCACCCTTATTCCTGAGGCATCTTGACGTTTGCATTAAGCTCTGAGGCAATTCTAGGCCGGTGCAGTTAGCGAGTTTGCTTCTAGATGGCTCTGTACAGAATACTGTTTGCTACAGCAGGTAGTGACACCAGGTGTTAGGCCCCTCGATGATGTCAGGGGTGAGTAAGCACCCACATATAAACTAGGTGGGGAGGGGACACCGTGAGTCTTGGGACACATAGGTCCTGGACAGGGCAGGAGGCCAGGTGGAGTGGATTTGTGTGCAGGAGCTAGCTGTAGTCATTCTGTCCCTTAAGGCAGTGGGAGCTAGGGTGGATTGCAAAAGGCCTTTTAGGCCAGGCTGGAGATCCCTGTGTGAGGCTGCTTCCCTGGAGGGTTCTCAGGAGAAGTGTACCCAGGTACAAAGTGTCTACAGAGAACACAGTCCTGTAAGTACTGATAACCTTGGGCAGAGGAGAGACTGTAGGAAGATGGCTGTGAGGTGCTGCATGTGCTTTCACCTTTTGACTACTGTGGATCATCCACTCCATGCGATTGACTGTGTATGTCAAGTGACTCCGGCGTGTATGTCTTTGTGATGTGATTGTATTGCCACTCCTTGAACAACACCAGTATAATGCATTGAATCTGTCTATTGTGTGGACATTCCTTCTTCGGGATATAAAGGTCTATGGCTGGGAATGTTGTGAGGAGGCCTACGGCCAGGAGCAAGGCACAAGATGGAGGAGGGGTTGGCCTCAGTAGGTGGGATTGTGTTCTAGCAAGACTGGAGCAGAAGTTGGACCTTGGGCTTGGCTGCCATTATCAGCCAGCCATAAAGCACCTCCTATACAGTTCTTTAAATCTGTAACTGTTCCATGTTATCACTATTCCTGGTTAGCCCCAAACCATCAAGTCCTACTCCTATACCCGAGGCATGCCTGTCTACCAGAGATGTGCTACTTCTTCCTGAATAAGAATACAACGAGATCTTCACCCTGAACTGACTTCTCAAATCTTTTCTTTTATTAGCAAACCCATCTAACCATTAGGGCCCTTTGGAAATCATAATTACCTCTGTGAGGAGAAAGGATATAGCAGCAAATGCAAAGGACCATCCGTACTTGTAACTGAAATAGGTCTCCGAGTCTTTCGTACGATTCAGGATCTCATCATTAATGCTGGATATGTAGAGGACCAGGCCGACCACCAGGGACAGTCCTGAGGAGGAAAGGGACATGTTGCCATGAGATGAAAAACTGACAAAAGACCTACATGGAGAATTAAGATGATCTTGCATCTGGGTATTGAGGAACAACCAGATCACCAGCTGGAGGGTGGTGCTAAGTCTGGTAGTGTCCTGAGGACAGGGAGGCTTCAGGTGGCTATATATTATGTGTGGAATGTCATAGTGTTGGTGGGTGGCAGGGTGCCTCGAGCGTGGCCATAGCGAGCAGTCAAGCCAACCTCCAACGCAAACTAACCTTCTGGGCAATACGACACTTTGCCCAATGGCTCTTCCAGATGTGTGGATGGCAGGCGTAGACTGGCCCCCTCTCCACCCTCCCAGCTGCATGGCTTCGCCCCTTCACTCCCAGGGGCTGCAGTCACTGGCCTCACCTTTCTCAGGCTTGAGAGCCAGGGGACATCAGTAGAACTCTTGCACTCCTAACATTGTGACCGAATAAGGCACACCAAGGCTGGATGTAGTTTAAGGCCTTTTACTGGAGAACCTCAAATAATAAAATGTCTCTTTTTTTGGATGGCAGACCCAACACAGTACCATGGCAGCACATGAGGAACCTTTGGGCTTAGGCCCTGTCGGAGGTTGCTTGTATTTTATGCAAAATGGCTTTCATTCCCCGTAGGTCTGCTACTCTTCTTTTCCTGGGATAAGGAGGGGGAGGAACTGATGGGTAAACTAACTCCATAGATCTTCCTCTGGACCTGCACTGACCTGCTGGAGCTCTCCTCTTTTGGGGGTCAAGGTGGGGAGCTCTGGGTCATCATGCTCTTCCCCCAGAGGGGGAAGGGCAGGAGCACAGCAGCTAGATGTTGATCTTCTCCTTCCTCTCCAGTCTGATCCACCTCCTCCCTGGTCCTGCCTAAACTCACAATCTTCTTCCTGGAGAAGGAGGCACCTTAAAGGGGACCTGCTCTACCACCTACCTACAATAGGACAGAGGCAATGAGAATGATTTACTAAAATAAAGCCAAAAGAAACTATTGGGGCACACTTGGATTGAAGGCCATGAACATTGAATCTAGGAGATAGTGAGCTGGTGCTGTAGGGTGTGCTCTTAGATTGTCGTGGAATATCCAAAAAAAGGTCTCTTTTTGCCTTCATTTTTGTGGCAAATTCATTGCAACAAAAAAGCAAAAGCTTAGTGGCTAGTCCCTAAGCTATGAAATACGCATGCGCCAAGTTAAACAGTACGTAAAACCCTCCAGAACATCGCAATAAAAGGTAATTGTACATTGTAATCTGTATGTCAAGAAGCCTGCATTTGGAGCCTCGTGTGCAGACTAGTTCTTTACCGCTGTAGCTTGAGTGTAAAATAAAGTCTATTTGCATATAATTTGCTGGTTTAGGCAGAATCTATAAGCGTTTCTATGTGCATATCATTTACAAAGTCAACCCCAAAAAAACTGATTCCTTCAAGAGTTCTATAGACTTTTTACATTGTATGCTATGTGGCACCAAAATATTTGTACAACCATCTAAATCACTGAGTTCTGGTGCACAAAGCCAGTCATGTTGAGAGCAGTTTGGTGTGGAGGAACTCTAGTGGTCTGCACAGAGCCCTGGCCTCAACCCTACTGAACTTTTAGAATGACTGCAAACCAGGTCTTCTCAGAAGAGTGGAGGATGGTAGAGACACAAAGGGGGAGCAAAATTGATGGCAATGTGGAAAGCTATAGTAATAACAATGGTTTTGGGATGTGATGTCCAGCTCTATAAAGACGTGGTTTGACCAGTTTGGTGTGGAGGAACCCAGATGTTCTGTACAGGGCCCAAACCTCAACTCTACTGAACATCTTTAAGATTAATTGAATGTCCGTTGTAAGTCAGGCCTTTTTTTTGGTGCCCAACGTGGGACCTGATGTATGAGCCAGGTCTTCTCATTCAACATCAGTATTTGCCTCACAAATGGACACAAACTGTGGGAGGCCTTGGCAGACATCTCCATAAAGAAATGAATTGACCAGTTTGGTGTGGAGGAACTCAAATGTCCTGCACAGAGCCCCAACCTCAACGCTAATCAACACCTTTAAGATGAATTGAATGCCAGTTATAAGCCAGGCATTTTTTTGGTGCCCTAGATCGGGCCTGACGTGTGAGCTAGGTCTTCCCATCCAACATCAGTATTTGACCTCACAAATGGATGTAAACTGTGGGAGGCCTTGGCAGAAGAATGGAGCCAGCTCCATAAAGACAAGGTTTGACCAGTTTGGTGTGGAGGAACTCGAGTGTCCTGCACAGAGTCTTGTCCTCAACCCTAATGGTGAATTGAATACTGAGCCAGGTCTTCTCACTCAGCATCAGTACCTGACCTCATAAATGGTTCACAAATTCCCACAGACACCTTCCAAATCCTGTGGAAAGTCTTCCCAGAAAGGAAGAGGATAATATAGCCACAGAAGGGGGGAAACTCTATATTAATGACAACGTGGCTAATCCTGGGCTTATCGTATAGAATTAGAAATCCGGAGGGTGCAGATGAGGCAGCAGGAAATGATGGATTAGGAGAAGACTGGTGAGAGGGACAGGTGGACACAAGATGATGAGAGATTAACGTGCGCCTCCCCAGGATGACTTGTATGAGGCAGTTTATAGATGGAGAAGATTGGAAGCAAATTGGGGGCTCATGAAGGACAAGTATTTTATTCATGACATTTACTGTTAGAGTTATGTGCTCTGAGCAGGAGCGGACTGACAACTCATGGGGCCCCCCCCCCGGGCAATAGGGGATCATGGGGCCCCTGTGTCCTTGCCCAAACTCAAAAAAAGCCTATGAAAAAGGTACCAGGGGCATCTCATGGGGCCCCTCTACTGACCTCGGGCAGAGCCCGAGTTTCCAAATGGTCAGTCCGCCCCTGGCGCTGAGGAACATAAAGACAACCTGCAAGTCACTGGCACACCATACAGAAGCATCGCACAGATTGTCAGATCTATGCAGCTGACTTTGGCCAGAAGAGAGATTGTCCTGTACAAGGATTGGTTGGAGAGAGATCATCTGGTGCAAGGATTATTTTGAGGGACACCCTGTTCAAGGATTGGTCAGAGAGATATCGTCTTTTGCAAGGATTGGTCCAAGAGAGATAGTCCTGTGCTGGGATTGGTCAGAGAGGGATCTTCCTGTGCAAGGACTGGTTGGACAGAAATCATCCTGTGCAAGGATTGGTTGGAGAAAAATCATGTACAAGAACTGGTCAGATAGAGATCGTCCTGTGCAGAGATTGGTTGGGGGCAAGATCGTCCTGTGCAAGGATTGGTCAGAGAGAGATCATCATGTGCAAGGATTGGTCAGTGGTGATATGGTCCTGTGCAAGAATTGGCTGTAGAAAGTTTATCCTGTGCAAGGATTGGTCGACGAAAGATCTTCCTGTGCAAGGATTGGAGGTGAGATTGTCCTGTGCAAGGATTGGTCGGAGAGAAATGGTCTTGTCCAAGGATTGGATGGAGATGATAATGTTGTGGGCAAGGATTGGTTGGATGTGAGATCATCCTGTGCAAGGATTGGTGGGAGAGAGATCATCCTGTGCAAGGATTGGTGGGAGAGAGATCGTCCTGTGCAAGGATTGGTGGGAGAGAGAGATTGTTCTGTGCTGGGATTGGTGGGAGAGAGATTGTCCTGTGCAAGGATTGGTGGGAGAGAGATTGTTCTGTGCTGGGATTGGTGGGAGAGAGATCGTCCTGTGCTGGGATTGGTGGGAGAGAGATCGTCCTGTGCTGGGATTGGTGGGAGAGAGATCGTTCCTGTGCAAGGATTGGTGGGAGAGAGATCGTCCTGTGCTGGGATTGGTGGGAGAGAGATCGTCCTGTGCAAGGATTGGTGGGAGAGAGATCGTCCTGTGCAAGGATTGGTGGGAGAGAGATCGTCCTGTGCTGGGATTGGTGGGAGAGAGATCGTCCTGTGCAAGGATTGGTGGGAGAGAGATGTTCTGTGCAAGGATTGGTGGGAGAGAGATCGTCCTGTGCTGGGATTGGTGGGGAGAGAGATCATCCTGTGCAAGGATTGGTGGGAGAGAGATTGTTCTGTGCTGGGATTGGTGGTGGGAGAGAGATCGTCCTGTGCTGGGATTGGTGGGAGAGAGATCGTCCTGTGCAAGGATTGGTGGGAGAGAGATCGTCCTGTGCAGGGATTGGTGGGAGAGAGATCGTCCTGTGCAAGGATTGGTGGGAGAGAGATTGTCCTGTGCTGGGATTGGTGGGAGAGAGATCATCCTGTGCAGGGATTGGTGGGAGAGAGAGATCCTGTGCAAGGATTGGTGGGAGAGAGATCGTCCTGTGCTGGGATTGGTGGGAGAGAGATCATCCTGTGCAGGGATTGGCTGCCAGGCTTTGAACTATCCTGAAATTGTTATTGTTCCCAGGCAGTGTCTGTGCTGAGCGCGGAGCGGGTGGTCAGAGGTAGAAAGTTGTGGAGCTGATGGAGAGCTTATTATAGAGGTGACCCGATGCAGTGATACCTATCGAGGGGCCCTGAAGGGAACAGAAACCTGGCCATACATTGGAGCAGATGATCTGGCTGACCTGATGAGTAGAAATCTTAAATGCGTGACTCGAAAGAGTAGGGCCCTCTTACCCCTGCGTGCTGTTTGATTATACGCACATCATGTATTGAGCTGAGCGCCATTGGCGCTATATAAACTCGTATAATACTGGTGAGTCACTAGTCACCCCATGCGTCACTCCTGAATAGGAGAGTTGAACCCTTTTGCTGTGATCTGCTCTGATCCCCACATTCATTCTTTGGACTTTCACTTATTTATCACCATAACCACTTTAATGTGATTTTTATACACATTCTGCGCTTTATATATTTACTGCGTTTTGTTAAGTGTGTGGTTTGCATTGATGCCGCAAGTTTGGGATATTATTTGTGCTATTTGGCACCTTATAATACTTGTATTTGGTTGATTGAACTATCAATTCTCACATTTTTCCAACAAGCACCTTTGTACATATTTGTGATGTGAGCGCTGCACCTGTTTTT